TCTCGATCTCCTGACCTCGTGATCCGCCTGCCTCGGCCTCCCAAAGTGCTGGGATTACAGGCATGAGCCACCGCGCCCGGCCAAGTTTTGTATTTTTAGTGGAGTTGGGGTTTCACCCTGTTGGCCAGGATGGTCTCGCTCTCTTGACCTCGTGATCTGCCCGCCTTGGCCTCCCAAAGTGCTGGGATTACAGGCGTGAGCCACCGCACCCGGCTAAGACTCCATCTCAAAAAATAAAAATAAAAAAAGATAGATAAACAAACAAATTTCACTCTCTGTGACATGAATCCATTGGTCAGAAAAAAAAATAAAATAAATTTCACTCTCAAGTAATTCTCCTTTCACTGATAAAAGGATTTAAGTGGTTGGAGACCTAGGTTCTATCATCCTTAGCCAGAAGAGTCACCTAGAAATTGGGAAAATTAAGGGCTATGTCCATAAAAACAGTACATGGCTATATGGAATTTCTATAAATCCTTTGACATGCTGATGAAGGAGGAATTCAGTGTGATCTCCTGATGCAAGTGGCAAAAAGCTACCCCACCTCCACTTTGTTCTCCAAAATCTTCCTCTACCGGATAAAGAGTAAATTTACAAGTTTTACTAGAGCTCACAGACAAATTGCCCAAGCTGAAGTTGAGATTGTATCTTCTTTTTCTGCCTTAGATAACAGACTAGTGAGTATATAATGGAATTACTAAAAAGTCAAGGACAAATATAGCAGTACTTGAGAAGTGCTGATATAATTTAAAGAATAAAAGAAGTGTGGCACTGTTATTAAGCCAAATATTAACCACCAACAGCTACACTTTATAACACAATCTGATATAGGCCATGCATGACAAGAACACAGCCCTAAAACGGAACCTCATTCTCAAAATTCAATATGGCAGCTAGCTGGCTCAAATGGATACCGTACACCACTGGCTCTCACCTGTATGATTGATTTGCCTTATTTTAAGGCTTCTAGTGATATTCAGTGTGACAGCTAATGGTTAAGTCTGTGGAGCACAGGTTAAAGAAATGAATCTTTTCTCAATTCTATGTTATATAGCCCAGTATAAAAAAATCCAAAGTGTACTTGCTGGCTTATGGAGAAATTCATCTTAATTTAACCTCTCTCTTCAGAATGAACTATTGTTTTCTTTGTCCTTGTTCCCTAGGGTCCCACCTCCTAGCTTCATATGAGCACTCAATAAACAGCAAAAAGTATTTGTTTTCCTTCATTTTTAATCTTTAAAAAATGTTTACATCATTTTTGCATAGGCAAAAATAAAATTTTACTGAGCCCTTATTGTATGCCAAATACCACTGTAAGAATTACCTTATTTAATCTTTACAACAGCCCTATGAGTTAAGTGTTATTAATAACCAAATTCTGGCTGGGTGCAGCGGCTCATGCCTATAATCCCAGCACTTTGTGAAGCCAAGGTGGGAAGACTGCTTGAGGCCAGGAGTTCAAGACCAGCCTGGGCAACATGGTAAAACCCCGTCTCTACAAAAATACAAAAATTAGCCAGGCGTAGAGGCATGTACCTCTAGTCCCAGCTATTCAAGAGGCTGAAGTAGAAGGATAAAGGCTAAGAGGCATATATACAAAAGTTCTAATAGAGGTGAAATAGAGGGCTGGGCACCATGGCTCATGCCTGTAATCCCAACACTTTGGGAGGCTGAGGCAGGAGGATTGCTTGAGTTCACGAGTTTGAGATTTGCCTGAAAACACAGTAATACCCCATCTCTACCAAGAGAAAAAAAAAAAAAAAAAAGCAGTGGCAGTTCAGGATTTGAAGTGAGGCAGTGTAAGTCTAGAGCCTATCCCTTAACTACTATTCTCAGCTTATACAGCCTAGAGCAACTTCCTTCAAGTTGGTGGTTCAATTCTCAGCACTATCACTTACCAGCTGAATGAGTCTTGGACAAATTGCTGAATATGTTTGAGCTACAGTTTCTTAATCTGTAAAATGGGTTTAGTAACAGCCTCTTTACAAGATTTGTTGGGAAATTAGATGAGATTATATATATGGACAACCTGGCATACAGCAGACATTCAGCAAGAGTCAGTACTCTTCCTTCCCTGCTTGACATTTCTCTTCTTTATTCTGAGTCTCGCTCTGCTGCCCAGGCTGGAGTGTAGCGGTACAATCATTGCTCACTGCAGCCTCGACTTCCCAGGCTCAGGTGATCCTCCCACCTCAGCCTCCTGAGTAGCTGGGACTACAGGTGTGTGCCACCATGCTTGGCTAATTTTTGGTAGAGACAGGGTTTTGCCATGTTACCCAGGCTGGTCTTGAACTCCTGCCAGGCCTAAAGCGATCCTCCCAAAGTGCTGAGATTACAGGCGTGAGTCACGGTGCCCAGCTGACATTCCTCTTCTTTTAGCTCAAGTGTGAGACTTCTCATTCCAGCTCCATTGAAAATCAGGGCCCAACACAGCTCCCGGGGAAGGAGACTAAGCAGTTTTTTTGTTGTTGTTATTTTTGAGACGGACTCATTTTGTTGCCCAGGCTGGAGTGCAGTGGCACAATCTCGACTCAACCACAACCTCTGCCTCCCAGCTTCAAGCGATTCTTCTGCCTCAGCCTCCCGAGTAGCTGGGATTACAGGCGTGCACCACTATGCCCAGCTATTTTTTGTATTTTTAGTAGAGACAGGGTTTCACCATGTGGACCAGGCTGGTCTTGAACTCCTGACCTCAGGTGATCCACCTGCCTCGGCCTCCCAGAGTGCTGGGATTACAGGCATGAGCCACCACACCTGGCCAGAGACTGAACAGTTTTAAGAAAAAGGACATTGTTGCGTTCAGTCTCATAGTAGGGATCTGAGTATTTCCTAAATTCCTAAATGGGTACTAGTTCATCCCAGCCCTCAAACTATCCTCACCACACTAGTATAACAAGCCCCCAGGTACACACACTTTGGTTTCAAAGACACTGATCTTCCACCCTTTTCCAGGTGGATGGAACAAGAAAACTCACCTAACGCCCTGACGATTCGCATCAGGACTTCCCCGACTTTCATTCTGGTCTCTGGTGTGTGCTTGTCTTTGCTGCTGTCATATTGAGCCAACAGGTCTGGCAAGATTTTCTCAGGATAGACATCTGAGAGCAGGGCAACCCCTAGGGTTGAAAACAAAAGAAAGGATGCATTACTGTTTAGGATCGAAAGGCAAATAAACCAGTCACTCTGTGATGGGATGAACACAGAGATGCTGAAAACCATCTCTACAGCTCTTCCAGCAAGGGCTGCCTGTTGTTTGGAAAGTCAGCATAGTGAATGGAATGAAGATGAGCCTGGTAGTTGAGACTCCTGCGTTTCTCTAGTCCCAGCCTGATACGATCTCTAAGGTCAGTCCCAGCACTGATGTTCTATGATCCAGGCAGTGCCTCCTGCTTTTGCTGCAGTTCTCCATTCCGGCATGATTTTCCTCTGTAGAATAGCCAGTGATGGGAGCAATTTCTACAAGGAAACATTTTCAGAGCATCCTAGACATGATCAATATTAGATCTAAGCTCATGGCTGAGTTTCCTAATCAACAGAAATAGGGAAGACCCTGACCCTGAGTCCCCCTTCGTAGGACTTGCTGATCCTCTCTCCCATCCACAGCAGCGCCTTCTAAATGTGTAGCCTGGAACAGTGTTATCATAATCTGAGCCCAGCCCCACACTCAGCAAGGTTTATAGGGGTGGCAGGGAGGTGAGAGGTGACCAGACAGATCCAGAACAAAACCTCTGGACGGCCTCAAATCTATGTAACTACAAATTATATGATTCGTGTCTATACTGTTGTTTATTCCTATTTTCTCTCATTAGTATTTAGCAGAGAACAGGAAAAAGGTTACACACTGTAAAGAACAGTGAGGAAAAAGAAAAAAGGTAAAGAAGGAATAGGTAGAAATAGGGGTTCCAGGATGAGAATCCACTTCTACCTCAAGCACCCTGGCCCATCAACTCTGCTTTGGGTTTTTCCAGTAATCTCCTCATTGGTCTCCCTGCTTCTACTCTTTTCATCCATTGCAGCTGGAGCTATTTGGTTTGAATCATAAGTCTGACCCCTTCATTCTTCTGCCCAGACCCCTCAGTGGTTTCCCTTCTCCCCTGAATATGAGCAGTCCCCACCCACCGCCTTCCTTTGTTCTCTCTCTGATCTCATCTTTTAACACTCTCCCTTGCTTCCTGGCCTCCTTGCTATTCTCCAGTAGACCAAGTGATCCTGGCCCGGAGCAGTCGGCCTCACTTCCCCCTCTGCATCGGCTGCTCCTCCTGGTGGCCTCACAGCTTGCTCCCAAACCCTATCATGTCTCTGCTCACAGATCACATTTGTCATATCTAAAACGGCAGCCTCCTTCCCCTACCACTCTTTACCCCTCTCAATCTGCTTCATTTGTCTTAGCACTTAATATCAGCTGACAGGCTGTGTATTTCCTTATTGTCTGCTCTCCTTCTTGGAATGTGAACTCTATAATAAAGTCAAGGATGTTCTTTTGTTCCCTGCTGTATCCCCAATGCCTAGAAGAGTCCTAGCACGTGTCGGGTGCTCAGTAACTACTTACTAAATGAATGAATGGATGAATGGATGGATGAGTAAAAAGGGTTCAAATATACAGTCCTGATATAAATTTCAGGAATTAAGAAAGAGAGGATGGGGAAGAAGTAATATAAATGCTTGAGAAATCTATACTTATTTTTCATCTAAGTTTACCATTCTCATGTTTAAACTGACAGCCTTGCAGGCAAAGTCTACGTGCAGCTTTTTATGTTGTAGGTTGTGATTCCATTCTCTTCTAAATCACATCCACACTCTTCACTGGGCTTCTTAACCGCCGCATCTGCTGAGCTGTGAAGGCGGAGCACCTGCTGAGGGCTGCACCTGTCTGCCCATCCTCCTTTCTGCCCTCCCCACCCCCACATTTCCTTGCTTCCAAAGAGCCTGGGAAGTCTCTGCATGTGATCCTAAGCCAACACCTCTGCATGTGGTCCTAAGCCACACTTCCAATCCAGAGTCCAATCTTACACAAGCAGAAGCTCTGCCCTTAAGAGAGATTCAGGTTGTGGCACAACACTGTCGCCAAAATGTGACACTGTAGTAGTAGTTCACTCTACTATGTAAAATGATGAAGTCCTTGGGGGTTCAACATGGAGTTATGGAATATTGTAGCATAGAAAAAAAAAATCTGCGTCGGCTGGGCGCGGTGGCTCACGCGTGTAATCCCAACACTTTGGGAGGCCGAGGTGGGTGGATCACTTGAGGTCAGGAGTTCAAGATCAGTCCGGCCAACATGGTGAAACCCCGTCTCTACTAAAAATACAAACAGTTAGCTGGGCGTGGTAGTGGGTGCCTGTAACCCCAGTTACTCAGGAGGCTGAAGCAGGAGAATCACTTGAACCTGGGAGGAGGAGGCTGCAGTGAGCCGAGATCGCACCACTGCACTCCAGTCTAGGCAACAACAGCGAAACTCCATCTCCAAAAAAAGAAAAAAAAAAAAAAATGTCTGAGGCTTAAGGGTAAGTGAACTGTTTGCTAAGAGAAAGAAGAGGGGGCTAGGTGCAGTGACTCACACCTGTAATCCCAGCACTTTGGGAGGCTGAGGTGGGAGGATCACGTAAGGCAAGGAGTTTGAGGCCAGTCTGGGCAACACAGGGAGACCCCATCTCTATAAAAATATTTTTTTAAAAATTAGCCAGGTCCACAATCCTCCTGCCTCAGCCTCTGAGTAGCTGGGATTACAGGTGCCTGCCACCAAGCCTGGCTAATTTTTATATTTTTAGTAGACACGGGGTTTCACCATGTTGGCCAGGCTGGTCTCGAACTCCTGAGGTGATCCGTCCTCCTCGGCCTCCCAAAGTGCCGGGATTACAGGCGTGAGCCACTGCGCCCGGCCCATAACTACTTTCTAAAATGAGTTCTCAACTCAGAAAATCTGGTGTGTGTTTCCCTATGACTTTGCAATGGAAAACAGTAGAAAAATGGGATTTGCTTTATACAACTTTGACCTATTTCTAGCTTTTCTGAAACCTATTACTAAAGTCCCTCCTACTGTTGTTTATTCCTATTTTCTCTCATTAGTCTTCAGCAGAGAACAGTCATTTACTTCTGTGAACATACTATCCTGGCCAAATGAGCTCTGGACTTCCTCTCTGTAGTGGGCAGACGTGTGATTACACATAGCATCCACTCTCTCTTCTGGTAACAACACTATGGTGTTCTTTTGGAGAAATATCCCTTTCTTACTCTTGGTCTGTGTGATTTGAGTGGGCTAACTATACCCACTTTCTCCCCCTGCAGGTGTCAACTTGTATCCCAGGCTGGCCAGTTAGGATCTTCCATTCCATCCCCACCACCATGATTGGTTCAGGAATGGGGAATGAGATCCGATCCTGAAACCCACATTGACACTACTGGGAAAGATACATTCCCCTCCCCACCACCCGCTGAAGAGACTAACCTGGAGCTGCCAGTGGCCACCATATGGAAAAAGCCCACCCAAGAATGACACCAACACAGAGGAGAGCCCACCTGAGAGGGAGGGAGAAGAGGAAGAGACCCGGTGGCAACTTTTCAGCTCCTGGACCCAGGTGTACTCTACCCACTCGACTTTCTGGACACAAAAGCCAATAAAGACCCTCTAATGCTCATACCAGTTTGACTGTTTTTCAGTTAAAAGAATCCTAACACACCCTTTTTCAGATTAACAATGATTTTTCAGATTTTTTTTTTTCTTTTCCTATAATGCTAAACTTTAAACTCATTAGGGAGCTTTTAGCTCTCCCGGTCTTCCATAAAAAGGTTGCCAAAGCAAAGCGCAGTTTCCTTGCTTCCCACAGTCCCAGGTCTACTAGCAATTGTTTATCTTCCTGCTGGTCTGCTCCACGGACGGCTGCCAAACGGCTGGCTGTTTGAGTTTTACCTTCTAGGATACAGGTGCCACCTATGAGTTTATAAACCCCTGGAGAATAAGAGTACAGTTCCCCCTTTATTCACCAAGCAGTGAAGAGAGTCATACATGATGGTTAACAACGTATAAAAATGAAAGGGATGAGATTGTGTGGCTGTTTTTATTTATTTCGAAAAAACTTTCTGTACTTTGGCACTCTGTGGAGGCATGGCTATAAACCTTCACATGACCATGGGCCTATCACACTTGATAATTCCTTTGTGACTTGAAAATGGGGTAATTTCTGGGTCAGCACAAGATTCAAGAAAACATCACACATCAATCCCTTTGGCCATGAGACCCAAAGGACTGTGTGAGAGAGACCTCTTTCCATTCTGATCGTAGGAAACTAGTTATACATTTTAGGATGTGGTGCAACAGATGAGATATAGAGAAGGTAAAACTGAATCCAAACTGGCAAGAGTTCACAGAAGCATTCTGAAATTTTTTTTGGAGGCAATGCATAGAATATTGGTAAATTAACACAACTAAAAAAATGTTAGGCTGGATGCAGTGGCTCACGCCTGTAATCCCAGCACTTTGGGAGGCCAAGGCGGGTGGATCACCCGAGGTCAGGAGTTCGAGACCAGCCTGACCAACACGGTGAAACTCCTGTCTCTACTAAATACAAAAAATTAGCTGGGTGTGGTAGCAGGTGCCTGTAATCCCAGCTACTTGGGAGGCTGAGACAGGAGAATCACTTGAACCCAGGAGGCAGAGGTTGCAGTAAGCCAAGATTGCAACATTGCACTCCAACCTGGGCAA